CAGCCCTTATAGTGCACTCTGTACTCGAAGCCATTCTTCTTCTCGTCGCCTTCGACGGGTCGGACTTCAAGGACCTTGGCCTCGTACAGCAGCTCGTGATGGAAACAAAACACTTTCTCGTCTTTCCTGAACGTCGCCTCTGGTGCAGCCGCTGGCGCCATGGTTGCGATGATATCTGGCGATTTTGATGTTGAAGTGTTTGGCAGTCAGAAGGGAAGGCGTAAAAGGTGCGCGAGATTCACCGACCACGTATCGCGTGCCCCTGTGAGTACCACTAGCCTTACGAAGATGACTACTGCGACAGCGTGAATCCCGATTTTGACCAAAATGAAGAACCAACCGACGAATCCGGCCACACAAAATCAGTTGACGTTTGCTACGATGTCGTCGCAGGCGATTCACGGGAGTCTTTTCTCGCACGGACCAGCACGCGTCGCGTTGTCAGGAGGACTCCTCTCCCAGCAGCCCACCAACGACACTGCCCTGTCACTGCACAGTCTCTATACCGACCATGCCCTCTCAAGAAGCCAAGATTCTGGGTGACTTTCTACTAACTCCGGCTCCTCTGCGCGACTTCATCACACTGCGCGAGTTCACCGACATATTCCCCCGTGCCCATCGTGCCAACCCGGCTGTCCAGGACATCTACCGAGAGCTCCAACGATTGCGCGATAAGGACATAGAGCTTGTCCGTCGGGACATTGCCGATGAGGTAAAGCGATCAAAACAGCTGAGGCGCGAGTATGCGCGCGAGAGGCGTCAAGTCGACGATGCAACTGTTGCAGGACTAGACCCCATCGCACTTCAGATGGAACAAGAGGTTTGTGTGCATCGGCCTTGCGACACCATCACCAGCTTGCTTACACGATACACAGCTATCCGGCGAGGGTCGCAAGAAACCACACACGCTACAGACGGTCCACTCCGACATTGAAGAGGCTTGCCAAAGTCTCGAGGCCCAGATTGCGGAGATAGAGCAACAGAATAGAGACGTCTTGCGCGAGGTGCAAGATGTGGTCGGCGCACTCAGCGACCTACGACACGGTCGCTTCCCTGCATCAACCAGTGGTGATAGTCTCGGAGAGGAAGTCACTGTAGCTCTTCGACAACTCGAGACTGTATGTGGGAAGCCAGTAGGATGAAGCCCGCCCGAGGTAGCCATTCCCGAGGCAACTTATCATGAACAGAGACCGTTGGTCTGGTTTCTTGTGAACAATTCACCGAGACAGGTTTTGCAGGTGCGATGCAGCCATTCTGCGTCTTTTCTCCACGCATGACCGCTAGACATAAGCTCAGATAGACATGTCTCCACAAGAGCCGGCTGCGGCGGGACTACAAGTCTTGCATAGATACCTACATATGGTCACAGACACAGAAGCGTCGTACCTGAAACGGGAATCTTACTTGTTCCCGGGCCTCGTATCATTTTGAATGCGGAGTACAGCGCCGGTTCGCCGAGCCTAAGTATCATACCCCGAAGCGGACCCCGCCTCTCAAGACTATTTGGGCAAAAGCAGGAACAAACTAACAGCTCCACATTATACAAGGCTATTCATAAGTGGCTCTCAATCGGCATTGCATGTTTTGATCGCTCTGGGTCACACGACCTTTCCATTCTCACTGCTATTTGTCTCTTTTAGGCGACTCGCCGGCTATTGCAGCCGCAATGTCAGTCGGATCGATGTTGAATTCTTTCACATGGTCTTCCTTACCTAGTCAATGTCATTCTCCCGTCGTCAAAGTTTACATCCCTGCCAACTTTAGCCTTGTGTGACGCGTGATTGGCTGCGCGAAGCAGCGCAATTAATCTACTTATATGAGCAACCTCAATATCGTAAACATTATACCTAGCGGCTACTGAAGACAGGTCCATGTACGGCATCGCCTATACGTGTCCACATGCTGCTAAAAGACTTATATGGTGTGAAGTAGGCAGCGTTCGAAAATTTGGTCACGGATCTGTTTCTGTTTCCCGAGCAAGAATGATCTTTTCAACTCTTCTCGTGACACTGGTGTCACTAGCGACATGGACGGAGCCAGTCTCCGCCAGCTTGAGAATCACGGCTGATCATCATTCTTTTGGTGGTGTAAATTATCCTCAGCTGCAATTCTTTGCACCGGAGCACAGAGACAATACTATTAAGGAAATCATCAAGAGCGGCGCAAGAGTCATACGGCTATTCAGTATGTGATTGTTTTCAAATTTTTTATCATATGCTAATTATTTCATAGTACGCCCAGATGATCTCCATCCAGATGTAAGAAAAGTGCTCAGGGACAAGAAAGAGGGCACTTGGTTGACAAATCTACATAGCCTGAGCCAGAACTGGGCTCTTTTGACAGGTCCTTGCTTGACCAATTCGACGACACGTTGGCGGCTATTCACCACCTTTCCAAGGGTACAATACACCGCACTATCTGAAATTGCCCTTCCATATGTTAACAGAAGCGTACAGGCCAGATGAAAGTCATTATTGCCCCGCACGACGCGCATGCACTTCGGGGATCTAACGATGTTCCCTGCGACGCATACTGCAAGGATCTCGGAGGATACTTTCTCGACTTCTACAGTTCAGATAAATGTATGTCGTCAATCTTTTGTCGTTCCATGGAGAGAATGTTAATTATGCTCGATAGACCGAGAACTATACAAAACTCGTCTCGAAGTCTTCTTCAAACACTACCCTTCCAAAAACTTCGACGGACGTCCATGGGGCACACTCTCCGAAGTCATTCTTGTGAGTATCTCCTTGAATCAAACTGTGAATCTTTGTGGGTTTCTAACCCTGTGCAGGGCGTCGACATCCAGAATCAACCTTTTAGCGGCATATTCCCCATTCCCGCTGGCGAGTCCTGGATCTGCGACATGGCCTCTCATTTGAAATTTACACTCGGTCTCGATGCATCTTCCATTGCCGTCATCAGCGGCGGCGTGTCAGGCGCCCAGAAGCCAGATGAGTGGCAGAACTTCCCCGACAGCGTGTTTGACTGCAAAGCCATCGACATTATCGGGATCCATGGATATTTCTCCAAGCAACATGATGCCACGGCAGGAACGCCATGGGCGAATATGTTTGTGCCTGGAAATACGCTAACAGGTCGCGCCAAGGGTAAGAAGAAGGGCGATGGAAAATTGCTGTTGGTCGAGGAATGGAGTTACGTGCACAATGATGATTTTGGACTGTTTTACAAGCAAGAAGCCTTGTTTGACCAGGGCAATGCATTGAACTATAGGGGAATACCTTGGGTACGTCACTTTTCCCAGAACCCTTTCAGCCCTACACCAGTAATGAGCAAAGGAATCGGGAAGATATACTGACAAAATAAAAACAGCTATACTCGCACCTCACAACCATCGAAGAGGGAAAGACCGCTCGAATCAATCCTATTCAACCCAGCTACACCAGCTGGACCGCTCTCAAACAGGTGTTGAAAGCTGCTCAAACCGCACGCTCAAACTTCAATTGGTCCACGTACCTCCCACCTCCCTTCTCCATCAAGCCCCTGACCGAAGACGAAAAAACCGCCCAAAAGCTGCGCTCAATGCTCACAAACTCAAACACGCAAGAATTCGCCATCCAGCGCCTCGGCCTCTCAAACATCACCTCAATCCCGCTGAACCCCTTCGTCCTCGAGCAATCCGACTGCACCTTCGGCTGCGAAGGCCACCTCTGCGACGCCCAAGACGGCTGTCTACCGCACCTCTTCTGCAAAAACAGCATCTGCACAAACGACTCGACGCAACCCGGCAAAATCGGCGACATGTGCACCTCCAAAACCCCCTGCCAACCGCATCTCCTCTGCTCCGCCGGAAAATGCCAGTCCTGCACCGCCCGCCCAACCATCCAACCCCCGGCTCAGAAACGCAAGAGAAGCATACCAAACGAACCCTTACCCCTCCCTTCACAACAAGAATACGAGGCCCAACACCGCGGCCCCATACTTTCACATGCTCTAACAGGCACATGCCACACCGACGCCCTCCCATCCCTATTCGCCTCCCTCCGCCCGCGCATCGCTCTCTCCTCCTCAAACCCCCCACCCCCCATCTGTCTCCCACCCTCCCACCACGCGGCCCCCTGCACATCCCCCTCGCACTGCTCCGCAGACGAATACTGCAACTGGGGCTCCTGCGCCGCATGTACCTCTGCCGACGCTTGTCTGGGATCCTCGTGCCGCAGCAATAACAAGTGCAAGACGGGTTACTGCAACGACCATGGTCGCTGCGATTATTCCTCGGCGAGGATTAAGAAGAATTTGGGACCCGGAGGCGCCAAGATGGGGAAGGGGAAGAGGGTACCCGGTGTGCCGAGGGGGCATGAGAGTGGGCCGGCGAGGGTGAGGGATGAGGCGATGCGGATTGTGATTCCTGAGGAAGGGGTTATGAATACGGCGGCTGCGGCGGCGGCAATGGGTAAGGCATAGATCCGTTTCTTCTTCTTCTTCTTCTTCTTTTTTTAACCTTTCTGGAGTTGGGTGTTTGGGGTTTTGACCAAAGCAGAAATGAAAGATGAACAAGATATCTCGTGGTGTATGTTAAGGGAACCATTGCAATCAAACATTATAGAACCTTTTTTCTTCGTTTCCTGCTCTTCAAAGATATTCAACAGGTAGAAATGGGTTTTCTATGTATGCAGATGTAATCTGCTTTTCCAACATACAAAGCAATATAAAAATAAAAAGGGAGAAGGGGGTATCGCAGTCTCCATAAAACTCCTGATTCATACCGAGTGAATCCTTCATCTCTGTGGATTGCGCAAAATGCATCCAGTGAGATTTGTTTTTCTTTCGCCTTTCCTGTGCCCATGACCTTAAAAAGACATGTTTTTCATCTAATAACCGGTACCCAAAAAGCCAGGTTTTCCTTTCCCTCATAGTCAATCACCGCGGAGCACTCGTGGCATCGATAGTCATCAATGCAACAGGCATCACCCAACTGAACTCATATGCTCATGTCGGTTGCAGGCGAGGTAGAACTTTTTTTTTGCTTTCATCTCTCATCACCCTGTCACTTTCCGATATGCAATGTTGTCCTCGATCAACTTTTCCAAAAATGTTGCTGCTTCGACCAAGATCTGACTCTTACTCAGCCCACCACCGCGAACTGCAGGCACAACTTCATGCAAGTCCTTGTAGCCTTGCTTGATTAAATCGCGGCGCTTCTGTTCAGAAAGAATATGGTTGTTTCGTTTTTGCTCTTCGGTCAAATTTTCGCGATGTGTCTTTTGGGTACTTGTTGCAGCCCGCTTCTTCTTACTCTCATCTGCAAGCGACGTCTTGCGAGCTTTTCCATTGCGCGCAGCCTTTCTCGGGGTTTCCTTTCCAGGATGCGCCATGGACTTCTTCCGCTTTTTTGCTGGTCGGTCGTCATGCTCTTCCTGAGATGCGGAGTCGTCAGACTGCTCGTCGTCGTCATCGTCACGTGATGCACCGGCAACGGCTGATGATGAGTCTTGATATGCAGCCGAGGTAGTGCGTACGGTATCAATGCCTGCCACTGCTCGTAAAATATGCTGGTGGGTCTCTTCTACATCATTAATGGAATGCCTTGCCGTGCTGTGCTCGGCCGAGCGGCCGTTTGCGCCCGAGTACCCGGATGGACTATTGAATGAATTGTCTGTGCCAAAAGTATAAGACCTCTTTAAGTCGATCTTCTGCAACGGCGGACCAAAGTCTGGTTGGGTGTGCTGCGGGGCCTTGTTTGTCCACTGCGGCGGGAACTGGGGGTCTAGGGCATGTCCACCGTGATTTGGCAACAGCGAGGGCATGCGCTGGTTCATGAGGCCGTGTGGTTGGACACTCATTGGCAGATGAGCGTGATTCAGGCCGGGCGCGATGTTTGTCATGAAATTGGTGGCCGCAGCCGGCTGCTCAGGAAAGCTGTGCAGACGGCCGTTTGTATACGAGGGCTGGGCGTGGTTGAAGAGGGTGGCAGCTGCCTGGAGCTCATCCTGGGTGTTTGCCAGGAAGCTGCCGTGGAGCGAGGATGAGGAAGCGTGGTGGGGTTCTTGTTGGAAGGTGGTCTGTAGACGGGCCTGGTCGGGTATGGTGCTGGTGACACGGTGGACGGTGGGCGGGGCGATGAAGTCCTCCCAGTTGTTGTAGTCGTGGGCGGTGGACTTGTCGTTGAGGGCGGGGGGTATGTGCTGGGGGTCGAGCAGGTCGAAAGGGTTGGTGGAGGAGAAGAAGTTGTCGAGCTGCTGGTTTTCCATGTCGCTGAGCAGCGAGGGGCCATTGTTGTCATAGTGAGGGGCCGCGTTGTCGAAGAAGTCGTCGGAGAAGGTGTCTGGAACGGGCTTGTCAGTGCTAGAAGTGGCGGTGATGGAGGGAGCTGGGGTAGCATACAGCCAAATGGCGGCGGGTCCTTGTCGTTCATGGCGGGACGAGGGAGGCCTGTGGCCGTAGAACCCGCGAGTCCCGCGAACGACTGGTGCGACAGTGCCGCCAGGTTGGAGGGCGGGCAGAAGGACGGAACGGAGGGTTGAGAGTGGAGAGTGGTGAGGACGAGGAACGAGGAACGAGGGTCGAGGGACGAGGGCGAATGGCCGGGGGCGGAGACAAGATTAGCGCATTCGGCGGGCCAGTCCAGCGGCGGTGGTGGTGCGAGGCTCTGCGATTGAGGCTATCGGGGCGTTGTTGGGAAGTGTTTGGCGCGGTATGACGTGAAGAAGTAGGGCGGATCGCAATGGCAGTGGCTTCTGTTGTGGCTTTGACGGCGACTGCTGGCGGCGCCGCGTCGGGGTCAAGTTTTTGGGATATCTACGGGACGGGGCATATCCAGCAGCTTGCTCAACAGGCGAGAGCGAGGCGGGGGGCGTGGCAGGCGGGGGTGCTTGGGCGCAGAGGGCAGTGGTGAAGGTCGTAAGTCGGGCGGATGCGCGCATGAGAAGTTCCATGTTCACATGCCAGCCAGCCAGACAGACTACGGCGGCCGCCCAGGCCCAAGAGACACAGACGCACGCACACACACACACACACTCACGCACACACTACCGCCCACCTGGCCTGCCCGTTGCAGCCTAGTCGCCGAACCACTCGCTTATTCCTGCCCGCCTGCCCCCGATCTGCCAAGCTTCCCGAGCCGGCTCCGGGCCCCGCCGACCTTCATTCACTCTTCCACTCGTGCTCCTCGCACCACCGCTCCCGTCTCCAGCCCGCCCGCCCGGCCAGGGAGCCCCCAGTGCCAATCTGGGGAAACAAACAGGCTCTATGCTGCATGCCAGTCCATTGCTCTACACGACATAATATGACATGTTCCCGTCCCGTCCCTTCACAGCACGCTCCTCCTCTTCGACAGCTTCTGGTACTGCCGCCGTGTCCTCGTCAGCCCGTCTTCCATCTCATAGTTGGACGGAATGCTGCCCCGTCTCAGCGTGTTAACTGCCGGCCGGAAACTCTCCACGCCACTAACTGACCCCAGCTTGGCTGGCCTCTGTTCTATTCTGAGCCCTAGCCCGCGTTTCACCGTTTCTGTCACTGACGCCATGAAACCGCTGACTCCTCTGCCCATGCCCTGACCAGCTGCTCGTGTGTGCACATGCCCATCTTCACATCCGCCCATCAGAGGTGCTTTCTCGCCTGGCTCCATGTACAGATGGCTGCCCTCGTGGTTGACGAACCAGTTGACCCCGTACTGCTTGCCCTGAGGCCCGCCGCCACACGACCCGGCGAGCACATGTGAAGGTGGCGAATTGACTGCCAGTGCAAACAAGTTGGGCGGCTCAGAAAAGTCCGTCACGAGACCGCGGTGCAGGGTGAAGTAGATGAGAACAAAAATATTCATCAGAAAAACCAGCGCGAGAATAATGATCCAAGCTTTGGAGGCTCCGGGCATGCCACCCGATGCGTACTGTTGAGCCTTGAGCGACGCATTAAAGTATTGCGTCTGGTATTCATCCAGCGCGGGATGTGTGTAATCCTGTGACGATCGTCAGATATCTTGTGTCTCATTACATATCAAAACTCACGTACCCATGTAGTCACAAACGGCGTATCCACCATGCTCAACAGTAGCGTACAACTCGACAGCACCGCTAGCGCCTCCGCCATACTCGGCAGCGCACGACTTAGTTCGACTTTAAGATTGTCTGCATCAGCATTATCCGGCTTGAGAATGAACTGCGTCAGCAGCCTCGACGTGCTCGCATTTGCATCCATGAGTCCTGTGCCTAGCGAAAGGCTATTCGCCCAGTCCGTCCCGACATCGCGCCAATTAGCCACGCCAAACGTGTTCTTACTCGGTGTTTCTCCTGTTTCTCGAAACGCCATCTTGTCCTTTGGGTCTTCGCACAGTACTTCCATGCTCCCGCCCGATCCCGTTACGTTGTGGCGTGTGCTGCACCCAGGCATAATCGACACTTGAAGCTTGCATACAGAGTAGATGCCCGTCCCGTCTCTACCCATGTCGTCTGGTCCGCCTTGCCCAAGCAGGTAAATCGCCGGCCGGCCCCATGCATTGCTCGTATGATTGAGTATTGTGTTGAAGGGAATTGGGTACCTCCCAAACACTGGCGGCCAATTTAGCGTTTTCGTATCATTGCCGTCCCATCCAAACAGCTCATCGACCACCGTCTTGTTCTGCGTACTTGCTCTATCTCTGATGCCTGGCGTAGTGACCCATGTTGTGATGTTGACAGTATCATCGTTTGGCCATTCGCTGTACACAAGTGGTTCCAGCTCCGTTTTGTTCAAATTAACACACAAAACATTAATCACGGGCGACGGCACTGCCGCCCGTAGCGAATACGTCCCTTCCGAATTAAGTTCTGCCGGCTGCAGTATCCCGTTGCGCTCATCTCGTGCCGCTGCAAATACTCCAGCATGCGGCATCGCCATTGTGATGTTGTTAATCACGCGACCATACTTCTTCGACACTTCTGTTGTATTAATGATATTGATCCACTGGCCCGTCACTGTCGTATTCTCATACAAGAGCCCGAATCCCTGTGGCCTCAGCCGCAAATCTGAACTCCCATTTCCGTTTCGAGCAGCAACATCCCAGTCGGACAGGTAGCGCTGAAAGTTATGGTAGCCCTGGCCCGCATGTTCCAGCTGCACGCACGTTTCGCCCTGGTGCTCCTTATCCGTGCGAATAGGCGTCTCGCACATTTGCTTGAGGTAATTGATATTAGCAAAGTCGCTCTTGACACGGCCAGCCAACACGAGACCGTTATCCCAGTTTCCATCTCGCAACATTGGTTGCACTAATGATGCGGCAGCAGAAGAATACAGCGTAGCTAATGTAGCGCTTAGTAAACTCAGTATCCCCAGAAAGGATAGGCCAGCGTATTTGGCAGACTCCCACGATGTGATCAGTGTGCCTGGCTGGACTACCCATCGCCACATACTGAGCTCCGAGAGTGTGACGCCACGGCCGTGGTCTTTCATGAATGCTCGTCGACTGAGCACCTGCCCGAGAAACGTGACAAAAGCCGTGACAAACGACAGCTCGATCAACTTTGCCATGACGGTCGTGATCAAAATGGCATCAGACGGAGTGATGGGTCCGTGACTCGTTATGCGCCGTCCATAGTGCGGAGCGCGGATTGCAAGCGCCAAAAAGATACCAGAAAAGACGCAAGAAAAGAGACAGATCATGAAGATCGACAAGTTCAGCCACGTGAACTTTGGATGATAAAAGTCCTTTGTCGTCGGACACTCGTGCACAGGGCGGAAATCATTCTCGTACGCCGACTTAATCGAGGGCGCACCACCGCCTCTCAATCTTTGCGCATCTGACGACTGAATGTAGTTCTCGTAGTCGTTCACGCTCGTGCTACTATTCTGCTTCACGTTCTTCAAGATTCCATGCCGGAATTCCTCGTACGAGCCTACGGGACTCGCTCTCCCGACCTCAGGACTGAACCTTTCTCGGCGGAGATCTGGCGTCGATTCTGCTGAGCTCCTTGGGAAATGTCCAAAATAAGGGTCTGTAGCGCTGAGGGGAGATAGCGGACCTGGGCTCTTTGCTGGCGGGCTTTTGGGTCCAGGGCCAGCGGCTCGACGGGGGAAAGGCTGGATACTGACGCGCCTGGCAGCCTGAGGTACAGCGCTGGTTGCAGTGGTAGCAATTCCTAGCCCGGTGTCTTTCCCCCCTTGCTGGAAACTTTGCGCGATGTCGCCTTCGTCTTCTTCATCCTCTTCTTGCACGATACTCGGCGTGTTGCGACTCACAGCCGTCGAGTCGCTCTGGTAGCGAGCGTAGCCTGGCCGTGTAGGCGAAATACCAGTGAATCCGAGGCCAGGAGGGTTACTGGAGAAGCCTAGAGACGGTAGTGCGGGGGTGTTATCAGAACTCTCAGAGAGATCTGGCGTCTCTTGAATAAGTGGTCGACGGTCAGCCATCCTATGCAAGCGTATATATCCCTACGCCTCGTTTCTTTGCTGATTCTCCTTTTGCGAGCTTTTCAGCCTGGTCTTACAGCCGCAAAAGCGGCAGCGCGCATTAGCAGGTGGCTTGCGTCGAGTTCGTATGTTTTGGTAGATAGACAAAGTCCCTGCTAGAACCAAGGGCTGGATATGTGTGGCTTAACAGGCGATAGTAGGGGGTGACAAGTACTGTTTCACAGCCATACACTAGAAGGAAACAAAGGGATGGTTTCAGGTTAAAGATGTAGAATCAGCAATGGAGAGAAACGAGGTATGTAGCGTTCAGCCGCTTCCCGGCTGAGAGGCTAGGGCTGGCGGGGGATTACCGCAAGACTACTAGCAATTATTGTTCCGCCGCCAATCTTGGGCATCTCTTCAGCTCTGGCGCTCGGCGGGCGGCTGCTTGCTGCGTGCTGCGTGCTACTGTAAGACTGTGCGTCTTTGTGGCGCCTAAGGCACATCTAGCCCCCAAAATATCACACCCACGCCTTTCTCAGACTGCGGCATTCCAGTCGAGATCTGGTCTTTGTCCGGCCTGGATTTGCGGCCCCCGCCCATGGGCCGGTAGAGCGGTAGTGCGTAGCTGTAGTGCGTAGCTGGCCTTACGCGATACCTGTCAGACGGCGCTGTGTGCCTCCTTTGGGAATTTGCTACGTGCACCGAGTGAACGGGGCAAACAAAAGACCCAGTGGGCCAGGCTGTGCAGAGGTACTTGTAAGCGGAAATGAAGGGTGTTGGTTCGTGGGGGGGGCACAGTTGAATCCCTTGCTTACAGCAATCGATGTGGCGTAGTCGTGTGGTAGTACATTAAGCTGAGAATATTGGTGGTCAGTGCCACAGAGCCCCTCCTTTTAGCGGGCTTGACGTCAGAAAAAGGCGCGACCTATTATCGTTCTGAGTGGAAGGCGACTCCAGCTAGTAGTAGGCGCAGATAGGCGTATTCGTACTTTCTCCGAAGAAAAAACATATAGTAATTGGGACCTTAAATATTACTGCGCATAAGAGTCTCGCGCGCGAAATGAATTAGGATAATGACTGCGCGTCTTCTTACTGTACCTTCATGTGAGAAATAAGAGGGGCCCACCATGCTCCTATTCTCACCCAATAGATTCAACGTGTTCGTCAACTAAACATTTCCACTGCTCACTCCCGTAGTATACCGTAAACCCATCATCATGCGTCGCCTCCCCCGAACTCACCACCGTATCTCCTAGCTGCCAAAACAAATCTCCCGCCATACCACTTCCCCCGAGCCCTAAACTAGTCTCTTGCCATGCCCCTTCCACTGCACACTGTTCTTCCCTCTTCGAAACCCCGTATTCCTCCAGCAAACACGGTTTCCCAATCCGTGCACAAATCTCTGCATGCGACGTGATCCACTCGTCGCCAAACGAGCCGCCGACAAGCCAATGCTCGGGATACAGATGGAACGTGCCAAACGAAATATTCGGCAGAGCAAGATTAGCAGCCCAGTCTATGCCTTCAATATACCAGTATGGATACTGGAACCACGGACCGCCTTCAAGTCCGAATCCTTCATCGCCTACAGTGATCATGTGTTCGGGGTCTAGCGAGCGAACGTAATCGCTTGTTTGCCTGATCCAGTTTGTAAGTATGGACGTAGGACACAGCCTGCATCGCGGCTCGTTGGCGAGTTCCCATGCGAAAATCGCAGGTGAGTCGCGGTACCGCGATATGACGGCGGCGATGTAGGCCTGATACATGGCCTGGCATTCAGCCTTAGTGTACCACTGCGCGTGGATGAGGACGTCGCAGGCACGGAAGTAGGCGTGCATGCCACCGTAGTCTTGCCAATTGTTTACAAAGGGGATGATTAGTTTTATGCCGTAGGTTGAGGCGGAGGCGACGACAGCGTCGAGGCGTTGGAGGCCGTTTGCGCCCGTGTTGATGGTGGCGGTGGAGCCGGAGAAGGATTGAAAGTAGACGCTGGAGGGATCAGGCTCGCCTTCTACGTCGTTGAAGCCCCATACTCTGAGGATCTTGGTCCCGGAGGCGGCGAGGTGGCTCATGATGATGTCAACGTCGGTGTCGTTGGTTAAAAAGGGCATCCAGTACGAGTTTGTACCAGCGTAGTATTTGGTTGTGCCATCGATGTTGAACTTCAGGCCGTCAACCTTTGAAATGGATGCTCGGGCAGAAACATCAACTGATGCCGGCAGTGCAGCAGCAGTTGCGCTCAAACAGAGTATTGGAAGCAGTTTCATGATTACAAGTCCAGTGTTTGCTCTCTGAGCTTGTGCAGTATATTCTCTTTAAAGAGAGAAACATGTTGCATTTTACCAACTTCATCAATAAGTACTCGGCACACGGCAGTATCGCATGCCCCACTTCGAATGAGATCATATCATATGCTTCTTTTACATGGAGTAGAACAAGTTCTACAAGTTGTGGCGTCATATAGTAGCCCAGTTATACTATAATACCAATAATTGGTGCATTAGAGACTTACCGTTGTGGAAGTCGAGTATTGCCAAGTATACACGTGAAAACGAAAGTGTTAAATTTCACCGCGGTTAAGAATCCTTGCTGCAAGTCCGGAGATCACACCCGAGCACAGTAAATAGATTGGAGCCCTAGTCGTTAACAAGACGACCAGTTTCAGACTGCTGATAACAACGAGCAAGGTTCGTACCATAAATATAACACAATAGACGCGACTCGTTTAGTGATATGTATTGGCTGAAACGACTACGGTCTGGTTTTCCGCAACCGTGTTAGCCTGACATGAGCGCTCGAACTATTCTGTGAATTCCACATCGACATTCTCAAACAGTAATGCCTGTCAACCCGATTAGTCACAGATCAGCGGTCACCCTGGTTGCAATAGCTCTTGTCTTTTCTGAGTGCTGACCGGCTTTGGACGCAGGCTTTAGTTCCCGTTCCGTACACGGTAAGTTTTTCGTACATTGACTAGTCGACTATATATGGCAAAGATAGGTTCTATGTGGTTAGAACTAAGCATCCTCGCAAATTGGAATGGTGTGGCTGTCGGAACAAAAACTCCCAATGTGTCTGGTACACCTGTTTGAGTGTGGTATCTCAGCCTTGCGACAAAATCACATTGTGAAAAGAGGTTTGTGAGTACGACTGTGTATCGTATGGAGAGTATATTACCTTTCCTAAGGATCTTTGCCTTTGGAGTGGTCGGAGCAGTGTTTTCGTTTGAGATTATGCGTCGTGATAACAAAATGAGTGTGATGATAGCCACGAAAAAAAGAAAGTCCTAAACGATCAAGCACACCACCCAGAAAAATGGTCATAACCAAATGCCGCGTAATCCGAATCTGGCGCTGGCAAGGATGCGCGCAACGAGCACGAATCGGCTTGTTGCAATGGGAAGAACTCCAGGTGAAGGCCAGTAAGAAGGAGCTTGAAAAAGAAGTGTATGCGCCCGTCTGCTTCAAGGCGCTCTCTTTTCCGAGTACATAAGGCTGCAGCAACGCACTTGCAGTCAACGTCTGCATGCACGCCAAAGTGGAGATGCGGGTGCAGGTACCAAAAGTTCCTTGTAATATTCGAAGAAGAAAGTATAGAAGACTCCAATGTGACACCAATCACTAGTGTCTAGGAACCGTGAGCTGTGGCTGTGTCGCGACGTTTTCGTATCGGGCACCAGGACAAGGGGTAATGAACAGTCGATCCTGGTCCTTTCATCTCCACAAGAGCGGGTATGTGCCGGCCCTCGGGGGAACCCATATCCCCGTTATTCCTTTAATGTCATTGCTTTTACGAGGCTCGAGGAACATTACTCAACCCATTTCCTCAGATTGCTCGCAGTATGACGGCAGTTATATACGGCCAACAGAGCGCCGTGGTGGTGTGGGGGTCATGTGTGCCACGCAGGGAAATGTCAGCCATGAGATTAGCGGTGAAAAATGGACGTGAGAAGTTGGTTCAATGGTCGGACAGACGTTCGGCGCTCACGATGTTTTGGGCATACGTAGGACGGCGCCAATCCGGAATGGACCATATAGGAAATCCCACGCTCGATGATGCAGTCCACGTCGATTTGCTGGACATCGCGCACGCAGTCGTATGCTGTACAACGCGCGCCTTGGTTGTGCGTGGCAGCGCTGACGTCTGTGTAGCATTGCATAAATGTCAAAGATCTGAGTCTAGTGCTGTCGCGTGGCGCCTCCAGAGTACTGGCAACAGTGTGACGACGATGACCACGAGTCTGGGATTACCTGTGCCTGTGCTAGACCCACGCGAGTCGTGGCGCATTTGGCGCGTGAAACAGGCCAAAAGCGCGCGGTGTAAGTTGCCGTGCCGGCTATGCCCCCACAGCATCGCCCTGGTGCTGGCCATGAAAGGAAGCGTGAGGTGGTACTAGACGGAGCCCGGAGGCCGTCACTCCAGGGTACGTTTCAGAGTTAGATTCGGGGACATGGTCCAGGGAAACTTGGATAGTGAGCACTCCAACCACAATAGTCGTCTGTGACGCACTGAATTCTTTTTCTCCAGGATGGCCCTGGGACGTGCTGCACGTTGAGGCTCGGGCCGGTTAGGGCCGGAAATGTGACCTAGACTTCCAAGTCTGACCCCGGGTCCGCGCACACGGTTGATCGACCAGGTAGCGGCCGAACGCATACAGTATCGAATTTTCCGCGCTCGGCAGCGGCGGAGGGCGCTCGCGGACAAGGATGCTGGCACCTCCTGGATGGCCTCCTTGTTGGTCAGACATGGCCGTGCGGGATCGGTTGCTTTGGGCTGTATGCGGCTCGAAGAAGATGGCGTGCGTTGTATTTGTGCCACTCCTGACTGTGATGACCAGCCGCAAACAGAATAGCAATCGCCCTCGAGTTTGAAACTACTGAGCAATCGTGTTGCCGAACGCTACCGAATGTCCGTGCTTGGGCATTCAAGTGGTGGGCGTACGGCATCAATTTCGATGGCGGGAGCTGGTCTGGTTGTGTCCGAAGCCTCACCACCAGGTCAATATTGCACGAGAAGCCACTTCTTGCATGACGAGGTAGAAAAGGAATAAGGCATGAGAAATTGCCGTTCCTACCTGAATCTGCTGCCTGCCAATGATGCCAGTTGATATGACGCACAAGCATTTCAGCCACCGCCGATTCCGACACTCTCTCTGGCCCGAGCCCTGCGAGCACTGTCACAGTTCCTCACCTCAGCCTCTCCAAAAACAAAGTCCTGCCAAGGCTAGAACGAAGCGGGGGGTGAACCGCGGTGCCCTCAAATCTCCTGCTTCTCTTGCTTTCCGTGAATCCAGAGACTGGCTGGCATTGCTTTGGGCGTCGTTGTCCCAGGCCATACTGTCACTATGAGCATTCGGATAAATGCGACGGTCCAGGAGGCCCGAACAGCTGCAAACCACAGCCAGGAGCAATGGGACCGTTTTTACGTGAGTATGCTCTGGTCGCAAGGGTAAGCCGGGCTAATATTGCTAGTTTATAACAAAAGACGAGGCGAGGCAGCTTGCTGAGGCGCATCCAGACTGGAAAAGATGGATCCTCATCCCCGCCAACGAAAAGGAACAGATGCTGGAGAGGATCAATGCCCGACTAAGTGCTGAAGGTATTCCGCCAGTCGAGATGATTATTTTGAAGTGGCGCGTGTCGCAACTCCTCCGGGATATTCAACGCAAGTACGGTACGTGCAATCGCAACTCTCCCTATAGACGTGGCCTGGCGGGCAGGTAGGCAAACTCTGTCCAACCGTACTCTAGCTGACCTCGACGACTGCACAGAAGCAGGCAGCATGCTACAAGGAATACCAGGTACGAGTTCAGGGTCAGGATCGGGTTCGCCAATACATGTCCACACTGCCCAAGCACCTTCAGACGGTAGCGTAAAGTCTTCGAGCCCACAGCGAACCGAGTATTCGCCAAGCGAGACTCGCCCATACGATCCAATACGAGATGTTTAGAACCTGTGCAGCCCCGAAGGAATCCTGTCTTTTACAGTGCGTGTTCAATGGTCGACAACGGAACTTTCGACTGCTTGGTATCCAAGCCTGAGCCCAGGAGCAACGTGGCCCGATGGGAACAAAGCGAACGGGCCAGCCCGGATGAGCGCCCCAAGAGGAGACGAATTGTCATGAATTTTGCAGAGATACTCTTGGTGAGGCCGTCGCACCAGGCTCCGACAAGCCCCAGGGGTTATAGATATCCAGCCAACAGGGCCTTGAACAGCCGCACAATTGGAAACAGCTGCGCCGAGCGGGACAGACGTCTTGCTGAGTGGTAAAGTCTTGGTACGTAGCCGAGGCAGTGCTCAGGGTTTGCGCTTTTAGGCCCAACTCTTGCATACTTTCAACATGTCTCGCTTTCTTCGTGTGCCTACGCTTTCCCACGATTCTCAATCCTCTCATGATGGCTATCCGTAGTTGATTGATGCACGACATGCAACTGTCGCTTGGCATGGTAGCGGTCTGTCTTAGTGCGTCGTGTCTCTGGTCAAATATAGAAAGAGTCGGAATAATCGCGGTGCAAAGCTGTGTCTCGTACATTTCTCAATTTTGCCCTTGATTTCATTTTCCGTGTTGTCTCCTTACAACCTTCTCTCATTGCTGACAGATGGACATGTCTTTTTTTTCTGTCCCAGGCTCGTGCTAGGCTGGCGTGTTCGTAAGTCAAGGGCTACGGACAACATGGGAGTGGTGTGCGTGTGTAGGCCGCGCAATTTTCCACGACGCAGAGTGAGGCAACATATCGAACGGCTCATTCGTTGTGACTCAGTCGTCCGCTAAGAAGTTGGGAGGTCACTCCCGCCAGTTGAGTTCGCCGAACGTGTTAGCACGTCCAAAAAAAATCCGTCAAGTCGAGCAATTGCCCAATGCCTGATCGGTAGGCCCAACGATAGTGTAAACCGGAAGCCTCATTTTATCTCCTAATCAAAGCCTGGAGCCTGCAAGAATCAATGGAGACTCGTGTCGAATGGCTTCCGTCGGTTTGTTGTTGCAAAGGGTCGGGTAGGGCTGTTCGGGCTGGAGGATGGAGATGCGTGTCTGCCTATGCAAACATGGGTGGCGATGGAGATGGCTCAACAACGCCTTGGTACTCCGCAAACTGATGGGCAAGATAAAAAGCTGATGGTAAAAGTAGAGTGACGAAAGAATGGTGGTGAAGAAGAAGGACCAGTCCAGCGCGCCTTCCTCGAAAGTATGGTACCCTAGCAATTAGTACTCCCCTCATCCATGTCGTTACGGCTGCCACACCCGCACCCTCTGATATCAAACTCTTGTACGTCGCAGCCTCCTTCGACAGATGCATTGCATGCGTCCTGCTCACCCAAATCCAACGCGTCCTTTGTATTTTGCCGTCATGCGAGGTCAGTTGGAATGTAGCAAGTGTCCCGGGCGCCGCTGCCGACCATGTCATCATGTGCTGTTCGGCTTATCTGCATCGTACACTCCAAACTCATCCAGCTTTTCATCAGTCTTGCTTGCACGGAGCCTTAATAAACTCTCAAACCGCTCGTCCCCAAGCACGCGTCGCCTCGGATGTGACCTCCGCCGTCCGCCGACACCGTTTCTACACTCTTGGAGAAGCCCAATAAGGCAAGATAGCCTTGCCTCGACTGTACCAGGCGTATCGAAGCTGCTCAATAGCTTTTGACGGGATAAGAGAAACTGTTCATGGTCTCTCACTCTCTTGAGCCGCCACCCAGGGCTTGGGGAGATGGCTTGAAGCCGTATGGTCATAGCTGCTGCTCCCCAGCAAGTCGACCGCGACGACATGCTCCCATGCTGTGCGATATCCAACAATATTCATTGTGTAAGTTCACACAATGCCTGCTGATAGCATACAGACATCATTGAGCGCTTTGACAGGATTCGATGCAGCTGCCCGACGGGTGTCGTTGCTCGGAAGCGGCAATTACGTGCATTAGTGGAATGAAACTTACCAGCACTTGACAGTAAGTAGAAGCCGCCAACTTGCATAGAATGCTAAGCCAGGCGCCTTGGGTAACGCGACGCAATCCGCCGCCCCGACCTTATATCTCTCCAGACTCACTCTGCGACGGACCGCATGGTGAACCGGCTACGGAACGGACCCTGTACCTCTCTACACAAAAACAATTCACCATAGGCGCTTACTCGCTTCCCACCACCCCCGCTACATATCCCACTCGAGACGCGATACCCGCTCCGCTTCGATGAGAACTGAGGTTACACAAGGAGGCATGCCGGTCTGACTTCTATAACCACCTAGCCGTGGGTGTCGCGTTGGGGAGCTTGCTGATACCTGCTACGGTTACCAAAAGTCGGTGTCGATTAGCTTGATAAGCCTCCACCCGTGCTGTGAAAGCGCTTACTCAATGCTTTCCATGCTCACAACCATACATAATAGCTATACCAGGTTCGTATGGAAAGGCGTGGAAGCTGGGAAAAGGTGGGCGTTGCTCAGACCCTGATCACGTATAGCACACTGCCAAACTCAACCCCGCTTTCCGACGCCGTCTGGGGAAGACGAGTATAGTTTGTTTTTCTATGTTCCTCTCTTGATCACCACTAGAGACTACTGCAAATCAGCAGATCCATATTTGATGCGGTGTGCGCCAATCACATTACGTCACATGTTCAAGACAAGGTTCACTCATAGAGCTCCGCTATTTGAACATAAACAAATACTATTATGGCCATGTGGAGACAGTGTTTTTATGCCTGAAATGCCTCAATAGCGGAGCCAAGAAATCAGGAGTGTTGCTTCATCGCAGGTGGACATGGCGTCCTGGTATCATTGATATCGTAACCAGCCAACGTAGCTATCCAGGGCTCTTGAGCCTACCACTTATCCATTTCATAATCGACATGTTTTTTCCCTTCCCTTTTTTTATGCTTACAAGACTCAACCCTACTGATCATCCTTGCATACCGAACCCGGGCTCAATGCCTGCTTGCCTTAGGGCTTTTGCTCGCCGTGAGTCTATCTCCTTCCTCTCTGCTTTTTGTGACGCTGCCAACGCCCTCACTTGATCCTCTTCTGCGAACTTGGCGCCCCTGGGATGCTCTTCCCGGTCGAGGTCAACAGTCGCACATATGGTGACATTCTCGCCTCGTACAGTCATGACGCCGGGGAGCTTGACATCGTTTATCAGCCATCGGGGGACCGAGGGGTCAGAGGAAGGTGTTGCGTCGGGGTTGCGTGCTGCTATTCGCTCGTAGCATTCTGTGAGAACAAGGTTTGCTACGTGCATGATTAGCTGACATGGGTCTGGAAAGCAGCAGGCTGGCACACGCAGACATACCGAATTGGTCGTAGGAACGTAGGATGCCAATGTACTCTTTCTCGTCGCGGAGCAATACATCAACCTTCTCTGTACAGTGTCAACGTGCTGTTCCAGAGTACGCCATACAAAAGTGTGCGCGTACTGTCCACCATGTCTAGCAGCATGGCTGACGTCAAGAAGGCCTGCGGTGGTAGGTCGACGGGGAGTATCGGCTGCGGAAGACCGCCACGCGCTCCACCGAGCACGTTGGGTCCATGTGGTTGTTGTTGCTGCGACAGCTGGGGTGGTGGTGTGGCACTGTATACGCCCTCGTAGCCTGCGGTAGTTGCATTAGTATTGCGCCATGCGACATTTCGAGGGCGGATCAACCTCACCCATACCTGGCGACGGCCCGCGAGG